TTGATCTGAGTGTGGAGCCTTTCCGCCTTCTTCGGCGGTATTCGGTATTTTAATCCCAGCGAAACCACTTCCAACTGTTCTCGCGTGAACCGTGCTGTTGACAAATTGTACACACGGTTCTGGCGCTCGGTTGGGAAAGGAATGTTGGCTGCTCTCACAAGGGTACCGTGAAGGCTGCGCAGTGTTTTGGTCCTAGTACGCTTGAGAGTTTCGGCGGAAAGTGCCTCAAATTTGAAACGGCAAACCAGTGACAAGCCATTCAAAACAACCGCGAATCGCTTTTGTGTCTCCAGGGACTTATGTTCTCGTTCAATGCAAGCATCAATATGTGCGAACGCAATCCTGGCTGGATTCACACAGTTAGCAGGCAGCTTATTTTTTCGACAGAGCTTTAACAAAAGATGGAAATCGACCTGACTGGATACATTCTTGATAAAAATTTAACCCGTACGCGTTCCACCGTGATCTTGCAGCGCAACGACAACAATCGATCCAATGACCTCAACGTCAGCGGGGAGTCTTCTTTTAAGAAACTTGAAACACTGAGTCCCCTTCAACCACTTCATTAAGGCAGTAAGAAGACATAGGTTGCGATATGTTAACGTTTCGATTACTCTCGTCAGTCGCTATGCCTTAATGAAGTGGTTGAAGGGGACTCAGGGTTTCAAAACTCTTTTATGGTCAGCTGAGTATTGGGAAGCGGCATGTGGGGAAACCCAAATTACCTTATCAGGACATGATCAAAGTGAGCCTCTCACGTTCTGATCTTGATTTCAGGTTATGGGAATCGAAGGCGGTTGATCGGCGTGCATGGCGCTATCTGATCACGAAAACAGTTGCCGAAGTGCGGAAGAAAGACCTCATACATGCAGGGAGGAAGCGGCAAGCACCGATGGGTTGTACTCCATCGACATCGAGCGCATGGTGCTGTATCACATGCGGTTGCGAGTGGCTGAGACAGGCAGGCGTAGTGAGCCATGAGCGAGGCCACTCGGGACCACTACCGAAGCGACGACGTAGGCAGAACCGGCACAGCGTTTGTAGGTACGTTGCATTCGATTTACTAACCGCGTGCTTGCATGCTAAGTCTGTTTATTTCAGGTGGTGGGTTTGCAATTTCGTCCTATTGATTTTCTTTCTCATATAATTGTCTACCTGTACTCTCTTCTATAAACCTGCACAACTCGCTTAAGCCAATTGCAGTTAATTTCGATAACATTTTGTGTTTAAGGCATTTCCATAAAATATAATTTCTGACCTTTTGAACTTATCTCGCATTAGTTTGTAAACAACTTATTTCATATGCTCATAAATTTAATATTTATGTCACCGCATCCTTATGCGTTACTCGATTCCTTTTGTTTGTTATCTTTCCCTCAAGTGATTGGCTGTTGCTTGATATCCCCAATGTGGCTGCGCTTGATGTGCATGTTGACAAGGTGCCTGTCTATTACCCACTACCTCGTCCATACTGGCTCTAGGAGACGGTTGGTCGTTGCTGGAGGGGACGGGTGCACGGTCCTTGTGGCCGTGCTAGGCTCGAAGAGCGGTTCCATGCACTCAGTGTGGAGCGGACTACGGTCCAGCCACCGCCTCGTGTGCGCTTGATTTCCAAAATACAGCGTGCTTGTGTTTGTCTGTGAAGGAGTGTGGGCCGGGTCCGTTGATGAAACCTGGCTCCCATCCACATGCCTCCCGGTCTTATTCCTTCGGGTTTACACTGGATATGGGGTATGTGGATGGAGCTGTGGGTGGTGCAGCACAAGCCACCCATGGTCCCTCTGTAGGCGCAGGCGTCCTGTGGCTGGCCACGGTGACAGGCAAATCCGAAACCGGATGCCGCCAGCCTTGTGACTCAGATAATTACGGTTCCAAACTGGACACTGTGTCTCACGCCCTAAGCACCTTTAAGTATCCCGGATATGTGATGAATTTCTTATAGTCGGGGTACGACGAGCATTCTTAGATAATTTAGAATTCCCTTATTTCCATAGGTATTTGTTTAAACAGATTTTTTGTCACCTCGATTACGGACGGTTTGCAAGGTAAATTTTAGATCTTGTGATCAGCTCTGTCCCCTGCACGTTCATCACGTCTGAGAGATGAACTGCGCTATGTCGCGGCTAATAATTATTTGTGGTCGACCGAGTTTAGTCGGTGGCTATGAGGACAAGAGGTATAAATTTGTGCTTGAAAGAATTCACTCGATGCAGCGTACTGATAAATAAGGAAATGAAGGGTATAAGCTGTACACCGATGCACCTTACCTACATCTTACTGCCGCGCGACTTCCACCGGCCGCACGACGACTAGTTATACTGCGAGGGTCGCACGCCGATTCGAGCCGACGACTTTTGGGTTCCAATTCAAACGCCTTGTTCCTCTGGCCAACAGCTGATGACGAGCCTCTGTAATACGAAACGGCTGTGCAGCGCTTTTCTGCATGAGTGGTGACTGAATGAATTGGGTTTCTGCGAAACTTCTCGTAAGTATCTTTAGCCCGGTCGGCGGTGAAGGCCAAACTCATTACACTTGCGGCTTACCTTTGGTGTTTGGAAATTCCCATAATTCCGTTCCTCCAGAGAATCTCATTTTTCTTTCTTGCATTCTTTCGCGCCTTCAATAGCTTTGTCCCCGTCTCCTTATCACCTTTTTCTTACTCTGGTTCCCTGTGTATAGCCGTTCAGCCGCAATTCTGTCACTGGTGTCACCACATGTCCACGACGCTTATCCACACTGCTTGTCCAACTCGGTGGGCATCCGGATTACCGTCTTCTGCAACTCAGATGCCTGCCTTATTTCGGCCCGGAATGTCGGGCGTTCTCCACCGAAACTTGGGCTCAGTTAGCTCGCCACGGCCGACAGATGTTGTTGACAGGCTCGTCTTCAGACGACAGTGAGTCATCTCGCCAATCTATTGATTTTGTGCCGTTTGTAGTAGTACAGATCTGTGTTCACGCCTCATGGGTTGTTGAGGTCCGATTGCTTCAGATCGGTGCATCAACACCCGTGTGCAGCGTCTCAGAGTAACGCTGTATGATGGAGGTCATTACAGTTTGACCTGAATCAGGAATTTATCCCACATTTTCTCCCATTCTTTTAATAGTCTTAATCTTTCTCATCTACATTGGTCATTGGGGTTTAGGTGATTGGGTCCACTTGCTAGTACGGCACAGATAGCGCTGCGCGACAGGAGTTTTCTTTGCATGCAGTAGCGTCTCATTACAAGACCTGAGGACGATTACTTCACTGTTGAGGTTATTAGGAATACTTGTCGGCATCTAAGTTGTTGTCTATCAGCCACGATATCCGACTGCTAAGCTTCACTCAACCCTCGAATTGGTTCCATTCTCCAGTCTCCTTAGGAATGGGCATACTCTATATTCTCTGACGAAATTCAATTTTGAACTAACTGAGCGTTATCATGGTGGGATAGTTTGCACGTTTCATGATCCATTAAACCGCTTGGCGACACTTTTCAATCCCTTTCATAGCCACTCCAATCGGACCAATCGATTGTTGATCATCATTCTGCAACCAGGTCAACTGTGGTGATCACTGTCTTTAGGCCTCTGAAGCATACTATCTGCACTCGCCTTGTAGCCGTTTGACTAAATCAATATAGACCTCGGCATGTGCAGCTTTACAGTGTGTAGTCAGATTTCGGGTTGGCAGCGGGCATGAAGAAACTAAATAGCTTCAGTGCGTCCCATATACCTTGACGATCATCTCGACGATTCAGGACCTTATATCGGCTCTGTTCGGTCACAAACTAGCCCCGCTCTTGTATACGGTCCTTTAGTTCTAGCTCCTGACTGTTGCCTCCGACACCTGCGGTGTTTGCCTCTATTTTGTGTCACCTTGTTTCGTTATTCTTTGTCTACACATCTTCCATTTTGCTTATCTTGGTTAACTTTTTCGTCATCACGGTTTCACAATCTAGTACTAACAATATTAGTTACTGGTATATTCTCAACGAAATGAGATACGACCCAGCGGAAATGGTCTGATCGCAGGGTACAGGGGAAAATCGTGCCGATGTTGCAAAGATTCTTTTGCAAGACCAAATGTAATTATTTCTTTTTCATTGATCTTTTCACCACCAATTTCGTTCTAATAAGGCTTCGGAGTGGACGAAAACCAGGAGGCGATCAGGTTATTGCAAAATGGAAAAGAATACAACAATAAATGGATTAGAAGCAACCTGCACATAGAAGAGTGTGGTCAAATAACTTTTAACATTATTGTATTACAGTTTTTTACCAGCAGCGAGAGAATAAGATCAGACAACAAGATCACACTTCGGCAACAAACAGTTAACCTGGGGGCTGTCCCCGTTATGAACGATTTAAGTCAGCTGGGAAGAACGACCACGGATGGTGATATGTGATAACAGAGGGAAGATGGATGTAGGTACATAATTTTGGTGATTTAGTGAAGGGCCATCAGCAGCGTCATATTCTGCAGGCACTCATGCTTCTTTCGTCTGAGTACGAGGGAGGAAGACAAAAGATACAGTCAATTTTTCAACCCACCGTTGTGTGCATGTTTTCCATAGGCTGTCAGTGGGAGAGCGGAATGGAAGGTATTGTGAAGGGGAAAAATCAACGACAAGTCTCATTTACTCAAACGATCGGTATGCTCACATTTTCCTAGGCCATCAGTAAGCCATCATTCTAAATATGGGCGAAGTTTATACCACCGTGGAAGGAGGGTATTTAGAATGAAACTAACCTACCTAACAGGCAAGTGATCACACATTGTATCGACAGCTTTTTTCCGTCATTAACCTTACTTTTGTATTAGGAGTCTGGTTCTCATACACCTATTCATCTGTTCAACTAATGCAAGGCAGTTCTTCAATATTTCCAGCACTTAATTGCTTCTTTAGTTGCATCTCGAGTTCTAACCGAAATTGTGCTTCTGGCATCTTGTGGCGCTCGATTCCATAGCAAGGGATATTCTAACGTAAAAGTGTTTAGCCGTAGACATGTGTGACAACCGGATATTTTTATCGTACATAGCTTTTTCACTTAGATTATACGGTGGAGATTCTTGGAATGCTGAACGAGAGAAGCTGGTTTGTACCAGTCGATGGAAAATCTTGTAAAACGGAGATACATTCATTTTTATTCTTCGAAACCACAGCGGTTAGCTTTTTAACAAATGTACTGTGCGTCGCATTGTCTAGAAATATACCATTTATTTATTTGTGAGATTCGGGATGTGACCTACAAGTCGTTTAATAACAGACCTCTGTGCAGTTTCGATTGCATGCATGTCGCATTTTTGACACTGCTGAGAGTAACGGAACAGTATTTTAACAATGGCATGGCACACAATTTGAACATTAGCTTTGCTAATTATAAATCCATAACTGATCATTTCAGTGGTCTGTCCTGTTTTGGCCACTGTATACTCAAATTGCTCCTTGGAATTCAACGAACCCGAGTAACGGAGGTCTACAATTCACAGATCGAGTCACCTAAAAGTATGGAATATAATGCGTACCCAAACATCCTGGTGGAATTCGGCATCCACCATAGCACATAATGCTGTACTTAGATGTTGAGAAGTTCAGGGTAGCTCCGACGCCACCATTCTTCAGGCGTAAGAGACAAATGTAACACCGTGGCATACGACATTTTCATATCATCGATAAAAATTAAGATTTTCCGCTTCTGGTTGCAGCTAAACGATCAAACAGACACACGTCAATCTTGATTCTCTGCTTTCGACCAGTGGCGTACGCTTGTGTCCAGGACTGTAGTGGGCTTGCGATACCATTGTTACGAACTTTATGCATAAGCGTTCTGTTGAGGGTGTTTTGAAGGTCCCACTGCACTATGATACAGACTGTCAAAATTTAGTTAGCAAGAGGCACTTAAACACTTAGACAAATCCATACTGTATATATGGTACACTTAGCTTGACGTTGAAAATTTGACAGTTTCATTTCTCAAAAGGCGATCCATAAATATGGAAATTAAAGCAGTGTGACATAGCTTTTGGTATCATGTGTTGACTCCGCCTTTGTGGCGGAGTATCACTATCGTCACTTTCCACCACTCGGAATAAAACCTCTATATCATTGATGTACTTAACAACCTCAGTGACAAGGATGTGATCTCCACTGTACTTTAGCATAACTAAAGCGTTTCCATCTGGACCCAGGTGAAATGTGATTTTTAAAGCGACCATCTGGCGCATGATAGAACCAGTGTCAGAATATGCGTTGGAAATACATGATCCATAATACTATGGGATTGATCCCACTGTATGTCGTTCACAGTGCTAGAAGCATCGGTCAGATATTAGTTGAACGCTTCAGCTCCAGCTCCAGTGATGTCATCAAGATCATCCTCAGACGGGGTAACATGTAACAGAATACTTTGTTATACTCGGCTATCCTTTTCTAGCAACTGTGTCATCACAAGCACGATAATTCGTATCGATGCCACTCTTCTCATTCGCTGTTTCTGTAACTCATGCAGCTGCTATTCACGTCAGCACAAAATTCTTCTTATATCAACTTCACTATTTTTTCCAGGGTTAAATTGGTCCTCTGACTCCAGTGGGTTGGAAGCGGTGAATCGTTTCAGACAAACCCGCTTGCCCATTTTGGGATGCATGGCTGTTCTCAGAGGTCAGGATGCGGATGAACACATACGGCAACCTGAAGCTTTTGTCCACGATTTGACCAAGAACTTGATCCGCTCTACTCCACCGTCGTCACTGTCCCTATGCCGCCCCATGTACTCCACTTTTTTGGGGTCCCATACGCGTTCATTTTTGGGCTACCCCCGCAGTCTGTTTATTGCATCCAACGGAGGCGGAGCTCGACCGACAATCTCGCCTGATGAACCCAACAGTCCAGCCCCAAAAGAAAGCATCTCCGCATGCCTCAGTCACGTTAGTGGCCGTGCTTGGGAAATGTTCGCTTCCAAGGCCTTCCTCCATCAATATGAACGGTTTGGTTTGACGAACGATATTTTCCTCGATTGTTTTGCCACAGTGGAGCAGATTGCTCACTGCTATTCTACTCTGGCCTGGGAGTAACCGGCACTTTTACCTTCCCATGGTACCTTATCTGACACACCAACAGCTAAATGTGCATTGTATCATAGCAGCTCACCCACCATTCCCTCTTGTAATATATGCTTTTTTGATACTACTAAATTCCTCACTTGAAACACCTTATGATTTTATCGCTTTTGTGCTCAATTTTACTAATTTTATGTCACAAAGACGATTTACTCACAACGCTGTGTTGGACTAATCCTTAATGCCTTCACAACTACGTTGGTCCCTAATGTGGTTTGCGTGCTTGCCTCATCCTTTGAACTACGCTGATTGTCAACTCCTGATTGCCTCCAAAGCTACTCATATCAGACATGCGGATGATTAATGGTCACGCAGACTCATCCTCAACTCCCCTTCATGATAGGCTGTGGAGCAATCGACAGTCCTCTTCTTTCAAAGCTCAGCCACTTGAGGTAAAATACATTATATGCTCAGCTTGATTGGCTCATTGCGCGGAGGATACGTGTTGTTTTCAAGGTTCCTGGCTTTCAGCCCATTCTTTATGGTTTGTTACCGCTCGCTTCAATTTGTTTAACCCGTGAACACTAACATACCCCTACCAAATCCTACATTCGGTTGAGTGTTATCACACCGCTTCTAGGTGTGAAACTTCAAGTGTATAGACCCCAAGCCAGAACACCGCGGTCACACTTTCCAACTGAGCAGATTTCCTATTGCTTTGTGGGTCAAACATCAAGGTTTCAGGCTGGATTCCGTCAGAGAACTCCCCCTTTGCCCCATTGTCTTGTAGAGCATATTATCGATTTTACGATTAAGAGTGAGTTTCCTCGAATCAAACAATTCCACATACGCATATATGCTTGTGTGACCTGGCGCCACCAGTGAAAGGGAACTACTTTGTTCACTCAGAAATAGGTCGCACCGCGTAGAGTTCTCAAGCGTTTTTCTTAGCATCTGAGTCACTACGCACGCTTTTGATGTATGTAACTGGATCAAGTTTTAATTTTTGGGATGGAGTTTTCGTCTTTCACTGCGAACCCACCTCTACATTTCTGGTCATGCTCTGTAGACAACTCTCTAGTTTTTCAACAAGAACGTTAACATTATAGCACCGCACAATTTATATCCAAAACATCACGGTGACAACGGAACATGAGCAGAGGTATCGTTTGTTGTACTTGAACTTATTGGTAAAACGCAGGAACGATGGATCGATACGTTGATCTGTCTACCGCCAACCCACTTGGAAGGGGCAATATTGGAATTTTCATAGCTTTGTCCCAAAGCGCTAAAAGCAACGCTTGGTGCGGACTCTGTTTGATAGAGCGAGACAAATATGCACTTAGGACTCGCTCGAACTGGAGGTGTAACTGCTCACCAACACCCTGACAGAAACTGGGTACCCGCCTGCTTTCGTCGCTCAATTTAGCAACCAGATGGCATAAGACAAAGTACCCACCATACCGAAATTGAAAGTAGTCCCGCAGGTACCGTTTAGAGGGGACGATGTAAGCCAAGTGTTTCAACGACGTTTTGAAGTCCGCAGTGACTCGTGTGTACCGCTATTACTGTACACAACGAGTCGCATCCCTACTCCTTCGGTTAATCCATCAGTACCTCTGTCCAACCGTTAACACACTCTTTACTATTTTGCATGTAGTGGCAAGGCCGACTATGTGGGTATGACAGAGCGTCAACCGCAGGTGAGAATCGCGGAGCATGTGCCGAAGTGGGTGGGACGACTCGTCTCTCAAACTACATCAACTATCATCCCAAGTGCTAACGATTTGCCACACAAAGCTCTAGCCTCGTCAATCGTCCGACACCGACAGACAAAACGTGGACTCTGCGCACACATTCCGGGTGATCTTCGCGTCAAATGACACCCACCTTTTACGATATAGCGAAGCGGTGGTCATCAAATAACTGGGCCCCACCCTATATGTACAAAAGGACGCGTTCGTCACACTGGCTCCGCCATGACAATAGGCCCGCTGACCAAGGACAAACGTGTCACTGTTTGTCTATGTATATTCTTTTAAGGTGGCTAAAATTCATTTCACTTCATTCGGTTTGTTCTGCATACTTGATAATTTTCTCCTAACTTGCACACGTCGCTCATGCTAATTGTGGTAAACTTGCGTAATTTTATCGCGTGGTATTTTTTAAATAACTTTCGGACATTTTGTACTTATCGCGGATTAATTTATAACCAATTTCTTTCATATGCTCATTTAGCGAGTATTTGTGTCGTCATATGCGTTTACTTTATTCGGTATCGGCGTTTCGAATGATTGGCTGTTGTTTGACATCCCAGGTGTGGCTGCGCTTGATGTGCATGTTGACAAGGTGCCTACCTGTCTATTACCCACTACCTCGTCCATACTGGCTCCAGGAGACAGTTATTCGTTGCTGGAGGGGACGGGATGCACGGTCCTTGTGGCCGTGCTACGCTCGAAGAGCGGTTCCATGCACTCAGTGTGGAGCGGACTACGGTCCAGCCATCGCCTTGTGTACGCTTGATTCCCCAAATACAACGTGCTTGTGTTTGCCTGTGAAGGAGTGTGGGCCGACTCCGTTGATGAAATGTGCCTCCCATCCATATGACTCCCGATCTTATTCCTTCGGGTTTACACTGGATATGGGGTGTGTGGATGGAGCTGTGGGTGGTGCAGCGCCAGCCACCCATGTTCCCTCTGTATGCGCAGGCGTCGTGTGGCTGGCGACAGTGACAGGCACATCCCCAACCGGATGCTCCCAACCATGTCGGTGGCCTCCTTCGAACGGCCTCAAGCAGCACGATGTGAAGGCGAGTGTGGCGGATACGCTGACACTGGATGAGACGCAGAGAGCATTTGCTCATCTGCGAAACTTTAACTGTGCCGGGGCTGACGGGATCCCGCTTGAAGTATTGAAACACGGCTGATCCGCGTTGGTGACTGCGCTGCACCACTTGGTGCAACGCGTATGGATTGAGTAGGAGGTGCCTCCTGAGCTAAAAGATGTCCTTGTGCTACTACTGTACAAGGGCAAAGGGAGCAAGCAATGTTGCACGAATTATCGTGTTATCAACTTGTTGAGTTGTGTGGGCAAGTTGCTTGCCCGAATCCTGCTCAACCGCCTCATCAGTCAGGTTGTGGAACCTAACGTGGCGGAAGTGCAATGTGGATTCTGTTCGGGTCGCAGAATTATAGATATGGTGTTTGCGGCTCGTCAGTTGCAGGAGAAGTGCAGAGAACGACACCAGCCATTGTACTCGCTTTTACTTGATTACACTAAGGCATTTGATACGGTGAACCGCGAGTCATTGTGGCGGGTGTTGGGTAATTTTGGTTGCCCGCGTAGGTTTGTAAGTTTAATTGTATGTCTGCACACTGGCATGCGGGCGAGGGTGCAGCTGAGTGCAGGGACCTCGGATGACTTTGCAGTTATCTCTGGTGTGAAGCAAGGCTGTGTCTTAGCTCATGCTCTGTTTGATGTATATCTTCATGCAACGATGTCATGTGTTTTTGATGCGGCTTATGCTTACGGTGTTTGTGTGGAGCACCTTATTGATATTGGGTTTCTGAACATCCGTCGTTTCGGTGCGAGAACTCTAGCCTGTGAGACAACTATCCGTGTGTTGCTGTTTGCTGACGACTGTGCGTTGTTTTCCCGCAACGCGAATGAGTTGCAGCATATGACTAGTGCTCTGGCTTCGACAGCGGCCAAATTCGGGCTCGCCATCAGCACAAGCAAAACTGTCTGTCTCCTGCAGCCTTCACCGAAGGTGCAATCTTCAATATTGCCGCGAATCAGCATTGGTGCTGAAGTATTGGGAACCACCTCCCGCTTCTGCTACCTTGGGAGTGTGATGTCGACTGATCAGCAGCTACACAGTGAGCTGCGTATCCGCGTGTCGAAGGCAGCGGCGGCATTCGGGAAGCTAGAGTACCGAGTGTGGAACAACCATCAGCTTTGTGCCAATGGTAAGCTGATGGTTGTTCCACACTCGGTACTCTAGCTTCCCGAATGCCGCCGTTGTCTTCAACACGCGGATACGCAGCGCACTGTGTAGCTGCTGATCTGTCGACATCACACTCCCAAGGTAGCAAAAGCGGGAGGTGGTTCCCAATACTTCAGCACCAATGCTGATTCGCGGCAATATTGAAGATTGCACCTTCGGTGAAGGCTGCAGGAGACAGACAGTTTTGCTTGTGCTGATGGCGAGCCCGAATTTGGCCGCTGTCGAAGCCAGAGCACTAGTCATATGCTGCAACTCATTCGCGTTGCGGGAAAACAACGCACAGTCGTCAGCAAACAGCAACACACGGATAGTTGTCTCACAGGCTAGAGTTCTCGCACCGGAACGACGGATGTTCAGAAACCCAATATCAATAAGGTGCTCCACACAAACACCGTAAGCATAAGCCGCATCAAAAACACATGACATCGTTGCATGAAGATATACATCAAACAGAGCATGAGCTAAGACACAGCCTTGCTTCACACCAGAGATAACTGCAAAGTCATCCGAGGTCCCTGCACTCAGCTGCACCCTCGCCCGCATGCCAGTGTGCAGACATACAATTAAACTTACAAACCTACGCGGGCAACCAAAATTACCCAACACCCGCCACAATGACTCGCGGTTCACCGTATCAAATGCCTTAGTGTAATCAAGTAAAAGCGAGTACAATGGCTGGTGTCGTTCTCTGCACTTCTCCTGCAACTGACGAGCCGCAAACACCATATCTATAATTCTGCGACCCGAACAGAATCCACATTGCACTTCCGCCACGTTAGGTTCCACAACCTGACTGATGAGGCGGTTGAGCAGGATTCGGGCAAGCAACTTGCCCACACAACTCAACAAGTTGATAACACGATAATTCGTGCAACATTGCTTGCTCCCTTTGCCCTTGTACAGTAGTAGCACAAGGACATCTTTTAGCTCAGGAGGCACCTCCTACTCAATCCATACGCGTTGCACCAAGTGGTGCAGCGCAGTCACCAACGCGGATCAGCCGTGTTTCAATACTTCAAGCGGGATCCCGTCAGCCCCAGCACAGTTAAAGTTTCGCAGATGAGCAAATGCTCTCTGCGTCTCATCCAGTGTCAGCGTATCCGCCACACTCGCCTTCACATCGTGCTGCTTGAGGCCGTTCGAAGTAGGCCACCGACATGGTTGGGGGCATCCGGTTTCGGATTTGCCTGTCACTGTCGCCAGCCACACGACGCCTGCGCATACAGAGGGAACATGGGTGGCTGGCGCTGCACCACCCACAGCTCCATCCACACACCCCATATCCAGTGTAAACCCGAAGGAATAAGATCGCGAGGCACGTGGATGGGAGCCACATTTCATCTACGCACCCGGCCCACACTCCTTCACAGGCAAACACAAGCACGCTGAATTTGGGGAATCAATCGCACACAAGGCCGTGGCTGGACCGCAGTCCGCTCCACACTGAGTGCATGGAACCGCTCTTCGAGCGTAGCACGGCCACAAGGACCGTGAACCCCGTCCCCTCCAGCAACGACCAACTGTCTCCTTGAGCCAGTATGGACGAGGTAGTGGGTAATACAGGTAGGCACCTTGTCAACATGCACATCAAGCGCAGTCACACCTGGGTTGTCAAGCAACAACCAATCATTCGAAACGCCGATAGCAAATAAAGTAAACGCATATGACGACACAAATACTCGCTAAATGAGCATATGGAAGAAATTGGTTATAAGTGAATCCGGGATAAGTACAAAATGTACGGAAGGTTATTTAAAAAATACCACGCGATAAAATTACGCAAGTTTACCACAATTAGCATGAGCGACGTGTGCAAGTTAGGAGAAGATTATCAAGTATGCAGAACAAACCAAATAAAGCGGAATGAATATTATCCACATTAAAAAGAGATACACATGAACAAACACTCACACGTTTGTCCTTGGTCAGCGGGCCTATTATCACGGCGGAGCCAGTGACGAACGCGTCCTTTTGTACACATAGGGTGGGGCCCAGTTATTTGATGACCACCGCTACGCCATATCGTAAAAGGTGGGTGTCATTTGACGCGAAGATCACCAGGAATGTGTGCGCACGGTTCACGTTTTGTCTGTCTGTTAGCAGATGTCGGGCGATTGAGGAAGCTGGAGCTTTGTGTGGCAAATCGTTAGCACTTGGGATGAGAGTTGGTGTCGTTTGAGAGACGAGTCATCCCAACCACTTCGGCACATGCTCCGCGATTCTCACCTGCGGTTGACGCTCTGTCATACCCACATAGTCGGCCTTACCATTACATGTAAAATGGTAAAGAGTGTGTTAACGGTTGGACAGAGGTACCGATGGATTAACCGACGGAGTAGGGATGTGACTCGTTGTGTACAGTAATAGCGGTTGCGCAGCGGGGTACACACGAGCCACTGCGGATTTCAAACGTCGTTGAAATATTTGGCTTACATCGTCCCCTTTAAACGGTAGCTGCGGGATTACTTTCAATTTCGGTATGGTGAGTACTTTGTATTCTGCCATCTGGTTGCTAAATTGAGCGACGAACGCAGGCAGGTACCCAGTTTCTGTCAGTGTGTTGGTGAGCAGTTGCACCTCCAGTTCGAGCGAGTCATAAGTGCATATTTGCCTTGCTCTATCAAACAGAGTCCTCACCAAGCCTTGCTTTTAGCGCCTTGGGACAAAGCTATGAAAATTCCAATATTGCCCCTTCCAAGTGGGTTGGCGGTAGACAGATCTACGTATCGATCCATCGTTCCTGCGTTTTACCAATAAGTTCAAGTACAACAAACTATCCCTCTGCTCATGTTCCGTTGTCACCGTGATGTTTTGGATATAAATTGTGCGGTGCTATAATGTTAACGTTCTTGTTGAAAAACTAGAGAGTTGTCTACAGAGCACGACCAGAAATGTAGAGGTGGGTTCGCAGTGAAAGTCGAAAACTCCATCCCAAAAATTAAAACTTGATCCAGTTACATACATCAAAAACGTGTGCAGTGACTCAGATGCTAAGGAAAACGCTTGAGAACTCTACGCGGTGCGACCTATTTCTGAGTGAACAAAGTAGTTCCCTTTCACTGGTGGCGCCAGGTCACACAAGCATATATGCGTGTGTAGGATTGTATGATTCGAGGAAACTCTTAATCGTAAGATCGATAATATGCCCCACCAGACAATGGGGACCTCTCTGACGGACTCCAGCCTGAAACCTTGATGTTTGACCCACAAAGCAGTAGGAAATCTGTTTAGTTGGAAAGTGTGACCGCAGTGTTCTGCTGGAACTAGCATGGGGTCCATACACTATCTTGAAGTTTCACACCTAGAAACGGTGTGATAACAGTCAACCGAATGTAGGATTTCGTAGGGGTGTATGTTAGTGTTCACGGGTTAAACAACTTGAAGCGAGCGGTAACGAACCATCAAGAATGGGCTGTAAGCTAGGAACCTCGAAAACAACACGTAGCCTCCGCGCAATAAGCCAATCAAGCTGAGCATATAATGTATGTATTGTTACCTCAAGTTGCGGAGCTTTGAAAGAAGAGGACTGTCGATTGCTCCACAGCCTATCACGAGGGGGAGTTGAGGATGAGTCTGCGTGACCATTAATCATCCTCATGTCTGATATGAGTGGTTTTGGAGGCAATCAGGAAGTGACAATCAGCGTAGTTCAAAGGATGAGGCAAGCATGCAAACCACATTAGGGACCAGCCTAGTTGTGAAGGCATTAAGGATTAGTCTAACACAGCGTTGTGAGTAAATCGTCTTTGTGACATAAAATTAGTAAAATTGAGCACAAAATCGATAAAATCATAAGGTGTTTCAAGTGAGGAATTTAGTAGTATCAAAAAAGCATATATTACAAGAGGGAATGCTGGGTGAGCTGCTATGATACAATGCAAATTTAGCTGTTGGTGTGTCAGAAAAGGTGCCACGGGAAGGTAAAAGTGCCGGTTACTCCCAGGCCAGAGTAGAATAGCAGTGAGCAATCTGCTCTACTGTGGCAAAACAATCGAGGAAAATATCGTTCGTCAAACCAAACCGTTCATACTGATGGAGGAAAGCCTTGGAAGCGAACATTTCCCAAGCACGGCCACTAACGTGACTGAGGCTTGCGGGGATGCCTTCTTTTGGGGCTGGACTGTTGGGTTCATCAGGCGAGATTGTCGGTCGAGCTCCGCCTCCGTTGGATGCAATAAACAGACTGCGGGGGTAGCCCAAAAATGAACGCGTATGGGACCCCAAAAAAGTGGAGTGCATGGGGAGGCATAGGGACAGTGACGACGGTGGAGTAGAGCGGATCAAGTTCTTGGTCAAATCGTGGACAAAAGCTTCAGGTTGCCGTATGTGTTCATCCGCATCCTGACCTCTGAGAACAGCCATGCATCCCAAAATAGGCAAGCGGGTTTGTCTGAAACGATTCACCGCTTCCAACCCACTGGAGTCAGAGGACCAATTTAACCCTGGAAGGAATAGTGAAGTTGATATAAGAAGAATTTTGTGCTGACGTGAATAGCAGCTGCATGAGTTACAGAGACAGCGAATGAGAAGAGTGGCATCGATACGAATTATCGTGCTTGTGATGACACAGTTGCTAGAAAAGGAAAGCCGAGTATAACAAAGTATTCTGTTACATGTTACCCCGTCTGAGGATGATCTTGATGACATCACTGGAGCTGGAGCTGAAGCGTTCAACTAATATCTGACCGATGCTTCTAGCACTGTGAACGACATACAGTGGGATCAATCCCATAGTATTATGGATCATGTATTTCCAACGCATATTCTGACACTGGTTCTATCATGCGCCAGATGGTCGCTTTAAAAATCACATTTCACCCGGGCCCAGATGGAAACGCTTTAGTTATGCTAAAGTACAGTGGAGATCACATCCTTGTCACTGAGGTTGTTAAGTACATCAATGATATATAGGTTTTATTCCGAGTGGTGGAAAGTGACCATAGTGATACTCCGCCACAAAGGCGGAGTCAACACATGATACCAAAAGCTATGTCACACTGCTTTAATTTCCATATTTATGGATCGCCTTTTGAGAAATGAAACTGTCAAATTTTCAACGTCAAGCTAAGTGTACCATATATACAGTATGGATTTGTCTAAGTGTTTAAGTGCCTCTTGCTAACTAAATTTTGACAGTCTGTATCATAGTGCAGTGGGACCTTCAAAACACCCTCAACAGAACGCTTATGCATAAAGTTCGTAACAATGGTATCGCAAGCCCACTACAGTCCTGGACACAAGCGTACGCCACTGGTCGAAAGCAGAGAATCAAGATTGACGTGTGTCTGTTTGATCGTTTAGCTGCAATCAGAAGCGGAAAATCTTAATTTTTATCGATGATATGAAAATGTCGTATGCCACGGTGTTACATTTGTCTCTTACGCCTGAAGAATGGTGGCGTCGGAGCTACCCTGAACTTCTCAACATCTAAGTACAGCATTATGTGCTATGGTGGATGCCGAATTCCACCAGGATGTTTGGGTACGCATTATATTCCATACTTTTAGGTGACTCGATCTGTGAATTGTAGACCTCCGTTACTCGGGTTCGTTGAATTCCAAGGAGCAATTTGAGTATACAGTGGCCAAAACACGACAGACCACTGAAATGATCAGTTATGGATTTATAATTAGCAAAGCTAATGTTCAAATTGTGTGCCATGCCATTGTTAAAATACTGTTCCGTTACTCTCAGCAGTGTCAAAAATGCGACATGCATGCAATCGAAACTGCACAGAGGTCTGTTATTAAACGACTTGTAGGTCACATCCCGAATCTCACAAATAAATAAATGGTATATTTCTAGACAATGCGACGCACAGTACATTTGTTAAAAAGCTAACCGCTGTGGTTTCGAAGAATAAAAATGAATGTATCTCCGTTTTACAAGATTTTCCATCGACTGGTACAAACCAGCTTCTCTCGTTCAGCATTCCAAGAATCTCCACCGTATAATCTAAGTGAAAAAGCTATGTACGATAAAAATATCCGGTTGTCACACATGTCTACGGCTAAACACTTTTACGTTAGAATATCCCTTGCTATGGAATCGAGCGCCACAAGATGCCAGAAGCACAATTTCGGTTAGAACTCGAGATGCAACTAAAGAAGCAATTAAGTGCTGGAAATATTGAAGAACTGCCTTGCGTTAGTTGAACAGATGAATAGGTGTATGAGAACCAGACTCCCAATACAAAAGTAAGGTTAATGACGGAAAAAAGCTGTCGATACAATGTGTGATCACTTGCCTGTTAGGTAGGTTAGTTTCATTCTAAATACCCTCCTTCCACTGTGGTATAAACTTCGCCCATATTTAGAATGATGGCTTACTGATGGCCTAGGAAAATGTGAGCATACCAATCGTTTGAGTAAATGAGACTTGTCGTTGATTTTTCCCCTTCACAATACCTTCCATTCCGCTCTCCCACTGAGAGCCTATGGAAAATATGCACACAACGGTGGGTTGAAAAATTGACTGTATCTTTTGTCTTCCTCTCTCGTATTCAGACGAAAGAAGCATGAGTGCCTGCAGAATATGAAGCTGCTGATGCCCCTTCACTAAATCACCAAAATTATGTACCTACATCCATCTTCCCTCTGTTATCACATATCACCATCCGTGGTCGTTCTTCCCAGCTGACTTAAATCGTTCATAACGGGGACAGCCCCCAGGTTAAATGTTTGTTGCCGAAGTGCGATCTTGTTGTCTGATCTTATTCTCTCGCTGGTGTTAAAAAACTGTAATATAATAATGTTAAAAGTTATTTGACCACACTCTTCTATGTGCAGGTTGCTTCTAATCCATTTATTGTTGTATTCTTTTCCCATTTTGCAATAACCTGATCGCTTCCTGGTTTTCGTCCACTCCGAAGCCTTATTAGAACGAAATTGGTGGTGAAAAGAGCAATGGAAATGAAATAATTACATTTGGTCTTGCAAAACAATCTTTGCAACATCGGCACGATTTTCCCCTGTACCCTGCGATCAGACCATTTCCGCTGGGTCGTATCTCATTTCGTTGAGAATATACCAGTAACTACTATTGTTAGTACTAGATTGTGAAACCGTGATGACGAAAAAGTTAACCAAGATAAGCAAAATGGAAGATGTGTAGACAAAGAATAACGAAACAAGGTGACACAAAATAGAGGCAAACACCGCAGGTGTCGGAGGCAACAGTCAGGAGCTAGAACTAAAAGACCGTATACAAGAGCGGGGCTAGTTGGTGACCGAACAGAGCCGATATAAGGTCCCGAATCGTCGAGATGATCGTCAAGGGATATGGGACGCACTGAAGTTATTTAATTACTTCATGCCCGCTGCCAACCGGAAACCTGACTACGCACTGTAAAGCTGCACATGCCGAGGTCTATATTGATTTTGTCAAACGGCTACAAGTCGAGTGCAGATAGTGTTTCAGAGGCCTAAAGACAGTGATCACCACAGTTGACCTGGTTACAGAATGACGATCAACAATCGATTGGTCCGATTGGAGTGGCTATGAAAGGGATTGAAAAGTGTCACCAAGCGGGTTAATGGATCATGAAACGTGCAAACTATCCCATTTTGATAAGGCTCAGTGAGTTCGAAACTGAATTTCGTCAGAGAATATAGAGTATGCCCACTCCTAAGGAGACTGGAGAATGGAACCAATCAAGGGTTGAGTGAAGCTTAGCGGTCGGATATCGTGGCCGATAGACAACAACTTTGATGCCGACAAGTATTCCTAATAACCTCAACAGTGAAGTAATCATCCTCAGGTTTTGTAATGAGACGCTACTGCATGCAAAGAAAACTCCTGTCGCGCAGCGCTATCTGTGCCGTACTAGCAAGTGGACCCAATCACCTAAACCCCAATGACCAATGTAGATGAGAAAGATTAAGACTATTAAAAGAATGGGAGAAAATGTGGGATAAGTTCCTGATTCAGGTCAAACTGTAATGACCTCCATCATACAGCGTTACTCTGAGACGCTGCACACGGGTGTTGATGCACCGATCTGAAGCAATCGGACCTCAACAACCCATGAGGCGTGAGACGTGAACACTACAAACGGCACAAAATCAATAGATTGGCGAGAGGACTCACTGTCGTCTGAAGACGAGCCTGTCAACAACATCTGTCGGCCGTGGCGAGCTAACTGAGCCCAAGTTTCGGTGGAGAACGCCCGACATTCCGGGCCGAAATAAGGCAGGCATCTGAGTTGCAGAAGACGGTAATCCGGATGCCCACCGAGTTGGACAAGCAGTGTGGATAAGCGTCGTGGACATGTGGTGACACCAGTGACAGAGTTGCGGCTGAACGGCTATACACAGGGAACCAGAGTAAAAGAAGGCTGCTAAGGAAATGGGGACAAAGCTATTGAACGCGCGGAAAGATGTAAGAAAGGAAAATGAGATTCTCTGGAGGAACGGAATTATGGGAATTTCCAAACACCAAAGGTAAGGCGCAAGTGTAATGAGTTCGGCCTTCACCGCCGACCGGGATAAAGATACTTACGAGAAGTTTCGCAGAAACCCGATTAATGCAGAAAAACGCTACACAGCCGTATCGTCTTATTGAGGCTCGTCATCAGCTGTTGGCCAGAGGAACAAGGCGTCTGCGTTGGAACCCAAAAGTCGTCGGCTCGAATCTGCGGGCGACCCTCGCAGTATCCCTAGTCGCCGTGCGGCCGGTTGCGGTCGCACGCCAGTAAGGTGTAGGTGAGGTGCACCGGTGTACAGCTTATACCCTTATTTTCCGTATTTATCAGTACGCCGCATCAAACGAATTCTTCCAAGCACAAATTTAAACCTATTGTCCTCATAGCCACCGACTTAACTCCGTCGACGGCAAATGATTATTAGCCGCGACATAGCGCGGTTCATCTCTCAGACGTGATGAACGCGCAGGGGACAGCTGATCTCAAGATCTATAATTTACCTTGCAAGCCGTCCGTAACCGAGGTGACAAAAAATCTGTTTAGGCAAATACTTATGGAAATAAGCGAATTCTAAGTTATCTAAGAATGTTCGTAGTAACCCGATTATAACAAATTAACCACATATCCGGGATTCTTAAAGATGTTAATGGAGTGAGACACAGTGTCCAGTTTGGAACCGTAATTATCTGAGTCACAAGGCTGGCGGCATCCGGTTTTGAATTTTCCTGTCACCGTGGCCAGACACAGGACGCCTGCGCCTACAGTGGGAACATGGGTGGCTTGTGCTGCACCACCCACAGCTCCATCCACACACCCCATATCCAGTGTAAACCCGAAGGAATAAGACCGGGAGGCATGTGGATGGCAGCCAGATTTCATCAATGGAGCCGGCCCATACTCCTTCACAGACAAACACAAGCACGCTGTATTTTGGAAATCAAGCGCACACGAGGCGGTGGCTGGACCGTAGTCCGCTCCACACTAAGTGCATGGAACCGCTCTTCGAGCCCAGCACGGCCACAAGGACCGTGCACCCTGTCCCCTCCAGCAACGACCAACTGTCTACTAGAGCCAGTATGGACGAGGTAGTGGGCAATAGACAGGCACCTTGTCAACATGCACATCAAGCGCAGCCACATTGGGGATATCAAGCAACAACCAATCACTTGAGGGAAAGATAACAAACAAAAGGAATCGAGTAACGCATAAGGATGCGGTGACATAAATAGTAAATTTATGAGCATATGAAATAAGTTGTTTACAAACTAATGCGAGATAAGTTCAAAAGGTCAGAAATTATATTTTATGGAAATGCCTTAAACACAAAATGTTATCGAAATTAACTGCAATTGGCTTAAGCGAGTTGTGCAGGTTTATAGAAGAGAGTACAGGTAGACAATTATATGAGAAAGAAAATCAATAGGACGAAATTGCAAACCCACCACCTGAAATAAACAGACTTAGCATGCAAGCACGCGGTTAGTAAATCGAATGCAACGTACCTACAAACGCTGTGCCGGTTCTGCCTACGTCGTCGCTTCGGTAGTGGTCCCGAGTGGCCTCGCTCATTGCTCACTACGCCTGCCTGTCTCAGCCACTCGCAACCGCATGTGATACAGCACCATGCGCTCGATGTCGATGGAGTACAACCCATCGGTGCTTGCCGCTTCCTCCCTGCATGTATGAGGTCTTTCTTCCGCACTTCGGCAACTGTTTTCGTGATCAGATAGCGCCATGCACGCCGATCAACCGCCTTCGATTCCCATAACCTGAAATCAAGATCAGAACGTGAGAGGCTCACTTTGATCATGTCCTGATAAGGTAATTTGGGTTTCCCCACATGCCGCTTCCCAATACTCAGCTGACCATAAAAGAGTTTTGAAACCCTGAGTCCCTTCAACCACTTCATTAAGGCATAGCGACTGACGAGAGTAATCGAAACGTTAACATATCGCAACCTATGTCTTCTTACTGCCTTAATGAAGTGGTTGAAGGGGACTCAGTGTTTCAAGTTTCTTAAAAGAAGACTCCCCGCTGACGTTGAGGTCATTGGATCGATTGTTGTCGTTGCGCTGCAAGATCACGGTGGAACGCGCACGGGTTAAATTTTTATCAAGAATGTATCCAGTCAGGTCGATTTCCATCTTTTGTTAAAGCTCTGTCGAAAAAATAAGCTGCCTGCTAACTGTGTGAATCCAGCCAGGATTGCGTTCGCACATATGGATGCTTTCATTGAACGAGAACATAAGTTCCTGGAGACCCAAAAGCGATTCGCGGTTGTTTTGAATGGCTTGTCACTGGTTTGCCGTTTCAAATTTGAGGCATTTTCCGCCGAAACTCTCAAGCGTACTAGGACCAAAACACTGCGCAGCCTTCACGGTACCCTTGTGAGAGCAGCCAACATTCCTTTCCCAACCGAGCGCCAGAACCGTGTGTACAATTTGCCAACAGCACGGTTCACGCGAGAACAGTTGGAAGTGGTTTCGCTGGGATTAAAATACCGAATACCGCCGAAGAAGGCGGAAAGGCTCCACACTCAGATCAATTTCGAACACCTTTACGATCAACTCAGCGACCTTTCGCCGAAATCAAGGGATTATGCAGGATGGTTTCGGGCAAAATTAGTGGATATCTCGCACCAGTTCCTGAACGCGCCTATTAGTCAGAGGTGTTGCTTGAAGTCGGAACACTATGTTGCAAGCAAGGAGCTACAGAAAAGGAAAGATGTAATTTTCCTGCAACCGGATAAAGGCACGGGTGTGGTAATAATGGACGAAGCTGATTACACCGCAAAAATGGAGTCCATTCTCGAAGATAGGCGCAAGTTCCGTATTGACAAGACGCTTGACAGCAATATATTGGTGGAGAAACAAATTGCAAGGCATCTACAAATTCTTCTGCTTCATGGTTACATCTCCGAGGCACAATATCGACAGCTAAAACCGACAGGGATGGAAACACCAAGGATGAAGGGGTACGCCGAAGTTGCACAAGGCGGGAATTCCACTACGTCCAATAATGTGTATGAGTGGCTCACCCTACCACAAAGTAGCCCGGTGATTGGCAAAGCTCTTAGAACCCGTGCGTAAGCTCCTGAGCACACATTGTTTCAAAGACTCCTTTGAATTGGTGAATATACTGGAACAAACAACACTCGACGTAGAGCTCATGCATTCCATAGACGTGGAACCGCTTTTCACAAATGTGCCCCTACGTGAAACGATCGACGACCTATGTCAATTTCTTTTGAGTCGGAGCCTCTCTGTGGGTCTTCCTCTGGAGTTCCTGCGAGACTGGATATTGTTGTGCATTGAGAATGTGTGATTCCAGTTTGAAGGGAAGGCATACAAACAGATTGACGGCGTCGCTATTGTTATGCGACACGGACACGATCAAAAAGTCACGATGGCGGCGGGCGGAAAACAGGCGTTTATTCAGTATAGGGTAGCCTATTTAAAAGAAATAAACACTGTTAATCTTCGAGCCTTCTCAGTGGGTCTTCTGTTTTTCGGTTCACCTCATTGGTCGCGTTCCCCTTTTATTTCATTGGGTTATGCTATTCCTCTTCGGTCGCTGTCTTCCTGTCTCGCGCAATGATCACATCTTTCGTGCTTGGCATCTGATTGGCCGTATTTCTTTGGACCGCTCATATTTGGCTTTGCCCTCTGAAACTTGCCGGTAATAGCGATTCTCGAGTTGCCAGTGCGCCCTCTATGTTCTATTGTCCAATCCGGTTTGTCGGTTTCTGGATACGTGTGCCACTCGTGATTCGCTGTCCAGCCATCGCTGTGTCTCCCGGTGGGTTCACGCGTTCTCTCAATCGAACTGATCTGCTGACTCCGGTAACCTGCGCTTAGGTGGTAAGGTCGAGCATACTGGACCGGTTTCCTAAACCCCGTTACATCCTTTTCCTTTTGTTTTGTTAGGATTGAGCCGCAGTATGTCCCATACTGCTTTCCGCTGCGTGTGAGTTTCCTTCCTTCTGCAGGGGTGACGCGTATCTGTCTTGGCTGCTGTTGTCCGTTTTTCATCTGGGTAACACGCGTACAACCTGCTTTCCGGACCTGTACTCGGTTCCGCTTAATTGTAGTGTCCCCAACCTTCACTTCGTAGCTTCTCTCTCCCTTGCGGCTCTGAATAACTCCCTTCCTCCAGTGTCCCTCTGATCCTGGTACTGGTTGCACCCACACTTCTCCCAATGCTAGAGGTTGGAGTTTTCTCGCCCCGCGATCGTAGTATCTCTTTTGCCTAAGCATTCTGTTTCGTAACCGCTCGTGTATCGAGGTCGTTGGTGATACTTCAGGTGTTAGCAGATGTGACGCAGTTGGTATCAACGTTCTTGTCCTCCGGCTGAAGAGTCGCTGCACCGGACTTACCCCAATTTCTGTTGATGGCGTGTTTCTGCGTTCCAGCAACATAATATAAGGGTCTTCCTGGGTCTCCTTAGCTTTGGTGAGCACCTTCTTTGCTTCTTTTACCGCCGACACGGCCTTTCCATTTGATTGGCTGTGATATGGGCTAGTAAGCCGGTGATGGAAATCCCACTTTCTGCTGAACTCTCGGAACTCTGCGCTAACGAACTGCGGCCCGTTGTCCGAGACTACTACCTCCGGTATTCCGTGACGAGCAAATTGACATCGTAGCTTATTCACCACTGCGTCTGTACTGGTCGTAGCTAGAGCATCGATTTCAAAGTAGTCACTGAAATAATCAACCAACACTAAGTAACTTTTTCCATCGTGGATGAAGATGTCTACTGCAACCATCTGCCAGGGCCTGTCCGGAACGTCACGGAGCATCATCGGTTCTTTTGACTGACGTACGTCGTGTGTTCGGCATGCCAGACAATTTGAGACGTAATCTCGTATTTGGCTGGTCATTCC